TTCAAGCAGCCACAAAGAACCCACACACGGACTCACCTACTCAGACTCACTCCCTCTGGGCTCCAGGTGCCAGGGTAGCAGCATGAGGGGCACCAGTGGAGTGCCCGGGGAGGCTGAGGTGTCTGGCATCAAAGTAAGCAGAGGCCACCGTCCCTTTTCTGGGCCCTCCTCCCACAGAGCCAGCAGACCAGTGCTGTATCTAAGATTCCATCAACCTGGCTAACACTGTTTGACCCACCTTGGAGATCCCCAGAGACTTCACCACACCCAACTTATAGGCCCACCCAAACTTCTTTTCCATATGAATAACTAGAACAGTGAGCCCCAGGCCCAGAACTAGCAGCCTAGATTCACAGCTTGGCTTCACCTGGAAATCTCCAAGCCCAGCACAAGTAGCAGCTATCTCAGATTGCTTTATAACTTAGGCAGGGTGGCCACAGGCAAAACACAGGTTGGGGCTGATCTTGGTCTGCACCATCTGGAAAACCCCAGGGCCAACACACCCAGTGGACAGCTACAGACCATGAAGGAGCACCAGCACCCTGCCCATGCACAGCTGATCCTCCATGGATGGCAGATGGTGGTGGTAAGTGGTCACAGCCAGTCCTTGCAGCTAACTGGCCTGGGTAAACTCCTCCCATTAATCTGCCAACAGCAATCAAGGCTCAACTACATAAAAGAGGAAAGTATACTCAGCCCACATGAAGGGGGTACATTGAGTATCCAACTTGGGTGATAGGGAGGACTGTGCCACTGAACCCTACAGGACACCTACAACAATAGGCCATACTACCAAGACATGGAGTCAAAGCAGCCCTACCTAATATGTAGAAACAAACACAGGGAGGCTGCCAAAACGAGGAGACAAAGAAACATGGCCCAAATGAAAGAATACACCAAAACTCCAAAAAGAATGAGCTAAAGGAAATGGAGATAAGCAATCTATCAGATGCAGAGTTCAAAACACTGGTTATAAGAATGCTCAGAGAACTTAGGGAGGACCTTAACAACATAAAAAATATTGAGTCAGAAATGAAGGATACACTACTTGAAATAAGGAACAATTTACAGGGAAACAACAGTAGAGGAGATGAAGCCAAGAATCAAATCAATTATGTGGAACAAAAGGGAGCAAAAAAAACAACCAATCAAAGCAGGAAGAAAAGAGAATCCAAAAAAAATGGGGCAATCCAAAAAAAATGGGGTAATGTAAGCAGCCTGTAGGATAACTTCAAGAGGTCAAACATTCGCATCACAAGGATGCCAGAAGGAGAAGAGAAAGAGCAAGAAATTGGAAATCTATTTGAAAAAATAATGAAAGAAAACTTCCCTAATTTGGTGAAGGAAATGGACATGCAAGTCCAAGAAACACAGAGAGTCCCAAATAAGATGGATGCAAAGAGGCCCACCCCAAGATACATCATAATTAAAATGCCAAAGGTTAAAGACAAGGAGACTGCCAGGGGGCAGGGGAGGTAGAATGGGTGAGAGGTGAAGGGATTAAGAAGCACAAATAGGTAGTTCCAGAATAGCCATGGGAATGTAAACTACAGCATAAGAAAGGGAGTAGCCAAAGAGCTTACATGCATGACCCATGGACATGAATAAGGGTGGGGGACTGCCTGAGGGAGTGGCAGGGTGCTGGGTGGACAGAAGCAAAGGGGGGAAAAATCAGGAAAACTAATAGCATAATCGGTACAAATATAATTTTTTAAAAAAGAATCAAATCACATGATGAGAGATAGGCTCGAGGCTCATGAAAGAGATGATGGCAGAAAGAAAGTTCAAGACTCTCACCTTAACCCTTCTTCCTAAAACCTCTTGTTCTGACAGTACAATATAGTGCAAAGGACACATATGTTGCTATAAACTGAATTGTGTCTTCCTGCTAATTCACATATTGAAGCCCTGCACTCACCCCTGCCAAAAGGATGGTATTTGGAGATGGGCCTTTGGGAAGTAATTAGATTAATATGAGGTCAGGAGGGTGGGGCCCCATGATGGGATTGGTGCCCTTCTAAACAGGGACACCAGAGAGCTTGATCTCCCCACTGGTATACGTAAAAAGGAAGCCATGTGGACACAGCAAGATGACAGCCAGGAAGAGAGCGCTCACCATGACCAAATCTTCCAGCACTTAGACCTCACATTTCCCAGCTTCTAGGCAGTGAGAAGTGTCTATTGTTTAAGCATCCAGGCTATGGCATTTTTTATGGCAGCCTGAGCAAACTAATACATGCATCTAAATCAGACAGGAGTTCAAATCCTAATTCTTCCCTTTATGGCTACATGATGTTAGACATGTTATCTTGTTTTAATTTTTTTTATTTATTGATTTTTACAGAGAGAGAGGATGGGAGAAAGGGAACGAGAAACATCAATTTGTTGTTCTACTTATTGATGCATTCATTGGTTGATTCTTGCATGTGCCCAAACTGGGGATTGAACCCACAACTATGGCATAGTGGGACGATGCTCTAACCAAATGAGCTACCTAGACAGGGACTATTTTGTTTTTCTTATCCACAATTATGTGGAAACACCACTGATGACAACGGTTGCCCTGCGGGGCTGTGAGGAGGTAAATGTGATGACGGGAGCGAAAGGTGCCTAGAGCTTTTCCTGGCTCCCTTCTCCCCCCTCATGTGGCCTTAGTGCTCCACTCTGGGGTGCGACACCCCCATTAGCCACACCTCCCCGATGCATGCCACAGCTGACCTTATAAACAGGTAGCCTCTTGGTCCAAATTCATCCCACAGAAGTGTTTTGTTTGGCCTGAACCAATGTTTGAGGAAACGTGGATTATTTATCAACATTTAAAAGCCAGGAAATTTCACATAAAAATCCCAATTTCCTGTTCTTGAGAAATCAGATGGTATGTCAGTGAACCTGCTCTCAGCTGGGGTAATTCCCTTCGGGCAGGGGGTGAGCTCTCACCTCCTGGCACCCCAGCCTCACCCGTTCCAAAGGCCTGCTTGGCACCTGAAGGCTTCTGAGTTAGCAGCCCCTGAGCTAACAGGGCTGGTGAAATCGGGCGAGGCCTGTATTTTTCCTAGCTGCCCACAAACAAGGGTTTTAAATACAATTTCAGGGTTGGTCTCCTGAAGTGAGGAACAATTAGTACCTTCCTGAGTCACCGTTTTTTATTTATATTGCTATTGTGAGCTGAAGAACCCTCATGGAGAGGAGAGGCCAGAATCTTAGTTCTTAGAGTTAAACTGAGCTCTTACAACTCGGGGTGGGCTGACCCAGGTTTGCCTCTGTCACTCGGCTTCGTGGGGCCTCAGTTTCTTCCTGCGTGAAAGAGGGCTTTGGGCTGGATGGTATTTATCAACCCTGTCCACATTTGTATAAATATTATGTGAAATTCAAGCACCTGGGTAGAAATTTAACACAACTCTGTTCACTTCTGAGCTCTAAGAGTTTTAATGAAAGCAGAGCTCTTAAAACACCCCATTGACCCTTAACGCAGGTCTTGACTAAATGTAAACAGGACCTGAATAATGGCCTTGTCTATTGTTCTTCCCACTCCAGGGCTGAGCCTTTTGCCTTGATGTTTTGTACTTAACACACTAGGGAGGAATGAACACCAGGGCATTAAAAGACCTTTTATGTAACCTCCTGTCCCCAGGAGACCCGCCTGCCTCTTTGCCCTCAGTTCCCACCACTAGCCAACCTCTGGTGCTCTATGCAGATGGGTCTTCTTTCAGTTCCTTGCTCATCGCCACCACAGGACTTTTGCACCTGCAATTCCCACCACCTGGAGCCCTGTTCACCTAGTTAATTCCACTGATGTTCCAGCTCCTCCCACAGGCATCACATCATCACTCCTGGCCTCCTTGGCAGGGTCAGGTCATCATGACACGTGCTTTCTTCACTCAGCTGTGTGGCTGTCACAGCTGCACTTCTACATCTGTAAAATGTGATTGGTTGGCCAATGATTATCTCCCTGACTGAATATAAATTCCAGAGGAGCAAGGCCCATGTCTGTCTTTGCTCATTGTTGTCTTCCCAGTGCCCGGCCAATAGAGAGACATTCAAATATTTGATGGATGGATGAATGAATGAATGAATGAATGAATGAAAAGCTGACACTATTCTACTGAGAGGATTCTGGGACACAATAAGTCCTCAAGAACCTGCCCTGACTGGTGTGGCTCTGTGAGTTGGGCATTGTCTAGTTCAATTCCTGGTCAGGGCACATGCCTGGGTCATGGGTTTGGACCCCAGCTGGGGTGCACAGAAGAGGCAACTGATCCATTTCTCTCTCACATCAGTCTCTTCCTCTCTTTCTCCCTCCCTTACCCTCTCTCTAAAAATAAATAAATAAAATCTTAATAAACAAACAAACAAAACCCTCCTCAAGGACCATGTCTTATTGAGGATTGTATCGCCAAAACTTAACAAGGAATTACGGTAACTGAGATGATGTTAGAAGCTACAAGGACCAAGTATTTAGTGTGTTCCTACCCTGTTCTAATAGATTATTTACATAACAACTCAATTTAATCTACACAAGAATCCTATGGAAGTGGACCCATTTTCTATCCCTGTTTCACATAAAAGGAAACTGAGGCACAAAAAGTTGGTAAGTCACTTAGTAAAAAGAACAGCAATAAAATCCCGAGCAGTCTGGGTCCAACCATTAGGCATCTTGCCTAACATGGTGCCCGATGGTTAAGCAGGACAAAGTCAATGTTTACAGGATAGAAGACAGCTACCCTCTGCGAGCCCTCTACCCCTGCCACTCACACGCGCGTGCGCACACACGCACATGCACTACATACATGAAAAAATGGATGGGCCCACTCTAGAGTAGAAGTCTAGATGGATAAGGGTCTCGGAACTTAATAGCCATAAGAGCCAACAGAAGTAGGAACAAGAACCAAGCTGAAAACAAAACTTCAGCTGAGGCTCCTGGTGGGGTAGCCCCCCCCCCCCACCGCCGTACCCCGAGCTCAGGCCCACAGGAAACAGCCTCTGGCCTGGGCTGCACGTACCTGATGTTTTCATTCAGTGCATAGAGCTCGTTGCTTTGCAAGCCTCCGCCTTTGAAGACGTTGATCACAGCAGTCTGGACGCTGCAGGGAAGAGAAACAACTCCTGGTTAGGCCATCTGCCTCCCCAGGGCCCTCTCAACACACAGCTCAGGGCCAAAGGGGACTGAAAGGGCCAGAAACCCATGGCATAAACACAGCCACATTTTCCATCCCTGAAACCCATCATTTTCCTTCCAGTGTACCTGGAGAACAAGGAAGACTGAAGTCAGGAGGACCCAAAAGCAGCCCTTCCCCCCACATTCTCACAGGCTGGCAGTCTTCCTGCCTCACCTGCCTCCCTGGCGGCCACGCTGGGGAGTAGCAACAATAAAGGGCAGGCAGCAGGGTCGCGCCCAGGAAACTGCGAGGCCAGCACCGCTGGGCCTGGAAGGATCTGAAACAGTGTTTACTACAAGCAGCAGCCGGCCATGCTAGGTTCCTTCACCGGGGAGGCCCTGTCTTCAGAGGGCAGCCCAGGGCTAATAAGAAATGATAATTCCTTGCCTTTCTTTTTTTTGTTTAACAGTACTTTCCTTAGAAGACTCTCAGCAGTGCTAGCCTCACTCGCCCCTTCCGCTCCCAGCCCTGTGCGGTGTGCAGGCAGTAAGTAACCCCTTGAAGGGCCACAGTTAAGTCTGGACTCCACCTCCTCTGGGACCCCAGCCCAATATTTCAGCAAGGAGCTGATTACAATCTTCTCTTTACCAAGGGTTCCAGGCCTTTTTTAAAGAACAAGGATCCGGTTAACATCAAAACATTGCAGATCCCCTTCTCCCTCCCCATCATAAGAGTTGTGCATTCATTGAGAAAATGATCCAAACTTCTGATCCAGAAGAAGTCCGTAATGCTTTCAAATAATGATGCATTTAATTTATCCAAAGAGTAAGTGTATATAGATTGGAAAAACAGTGGCCCTCAGAAGCACAAGACAGAGTATCGATTCCTTTGCTCAGCGCTTGGTGTGCAAAGGTCAGGGAGACACCTTACAAAAAAAAGCCCAGTATCTCCTCTCCCAGCCACCTGTGACTCATTGATTAGGTGATGATCTCTGGTTTTTGCAGCTCGCCTTTTCACAGATATCTGTCTTATCTTCCCAAAGAGGTAGAAGGTGACTTGAGGTTACTTATATGATCCCACCCTTGGGCTCTCTGAGTTGGGGATGTGACAAATGAGCGTGATCAGTAAGTTCCAGCCCAGCTGTCCCGGGCTGGCTAACTGACTCTGCTAGCCCAGAGCCCCCAGGGGTCCACTCTGCCTCCACTAGAACAGAAAGCTCCAGGATGCATTCTCCATGGGAAAACACCCTCTCTTCCTGAGATCTCAGAGGCAGCAGAAGCTAAGCCCGTCCCCGGCCCTGCTCTGGCCTTTGAAGCCCTCCCTCCACACCTGGCTGCCTCCTTTACCTGTTCCAGGCCGAGTTGGAGCTCAGCTGCAGGGCCTGCCGGGTGGCTTGGAACCGGGGCAGGTCGCTGAGCACCGGGGAGCTCATGAAGCGCGGTCTGGGCCGGCGGAAGGAGCCCATCTTGTGGAACTCAATGGGCAAGCCAGGGACGAAGCCACGGGTCATAAGTCCAGGTGAGGGGATGGCTTCTCCTCTGGACCAGAAGGTTCCGAATGCCCACAGAAAGCACTTATCCCAGGGCTGCCGCCTTCAGGCTCTCAGGTTCTCTTAAAACTACAAATTTTAACCTGAAAAGAGAGGGCAGCTTTTATTGAAAACTCCTAGGCTGAGCAGACCACCTCTTCGAGGAAGTTAGCTGGGACTTTCCAGCCAAACGATCCTAAAAACAACTCTGGGAGCCCCCAGTGACCTCCGTACCCTGCAGGTACCCAGTCACAAGCTTTTGGGTTACACAGTGTGGTCAACCCCAAGTAGGAAGGCAGTGCCAGTGGGGCCAGGTTGAGGTCAGTCCTACAGAAGAGTGACTTCGAAGCTGTGCTTGACCGTGGTTCCCATGCTGGCGGGATCTCTGCGGACCCCACAATGTTGCGCACTAAAAGACAGCCCATGTGCATCACTCAGTATTTCCTAAAGTATCCGTGCCTCTTCACTCAGGCCCATCCGCCACCATCCCTTACCTGCCATTCATTCATTCACCCCATCAGAACTGATTTATTGAGTGCTTACTGCTTATTAACCACTGGGGCATCCAAATATTTCTAAGATCTAGTCCCTGCCCTCGAGAGGCTCATGATCTACAGAGAAGATAACCGTCTCTTTGCATATCCATTCACACGATAAATATTTAGTGAGCACCTACTATGTAGCAGGCCCTCACTCAGGCACTGGGGATATAATGGTGGCCCTGGAGACCGTGGTCCCCACCCTGTGCAGCTTACAACCAGCAGGTACGGTTCCATGTCAACATTCTTACTCCCTTTCCCAGGCTTTCTGATTATATCTACTGCTCTTCTTGCCCAGAATTCCCTTCCTTTTCCTCTCTGCTTATCTAAATCTAACTCACCTTGCAGGGCTGGGTTCAAGGATACTGTCCCCTGAGCAGTTCTTGGGAGACTTTATGGCTCCCTGGTTAATGGCAATGGCTTGGAAATGAACCTTGGTTTGAGGCTCAACGAGGCTACTCCCAAGTTGGGAGACTTTGGGCACACTGAGTGTGCGAGTCCTCAGCTGTCAGCACAATCAACTTCCCAGGGCTGATGAGACATGAAATGAGATCATTTGACATACCCTCAAGTGTTGTGTATTTCCATTCAGACTGATCACTTTCATTTTTTTTTTTTTTTTACTTTCAGTTTTATCTCGTATTGGTTTCAGGTATACAGGTTGGTGGTTAGACAGTCATACACTTGACATAGTGTTCCCCTCAATATTTCCAGTACCCATCTGGCACCACATATAGTTATAACAATATTATTGACTGTATTTCCTATGCTGTACTTTACACCCCCACGACTATTGTAACTACCAATTTATCAGACCAATCCCTTTCTTTCTCAGCACCTCTGGACCTGTCATTTTGGTCTCTTGTTCTTTAGTGAACCCAAAGTCTCAGTTGATGACCCAAACTGAGTTCTGGAGCTGGTCAAAGAACAAAAGGAAACACTACGGAGGTTAGAGACGCTTTTTTCTCAAGGGTTAACAGCATAGCCCAGAAATATTCTCACTGCCACCTGTCTCACCAGCTAACTGCTATTTCCTCAAAACCAAAACTGCAGGATAAATGTCTGCCTTCAGGTTGAGAGGGGGAGAAGGTTTTGCAGCCCCAGCTGCAGCATTTGAAGGAGAAACCGAGGTGTCACCTGCCAATTCAATGCTGCTTTGCTCAGAACGCGGCTGTGAGAGAGGCACTAAGGCCATCCAACCAGAGAGCGTGGGAGGGGTCAGCAGCTGCCTATACTATAGGCCATGGGCACAGTGACAGTGAACTTGTAAGATCAAGAGCCAAAGAAGGAACGGCTTGTCTTACACCTGTGAAATTTAAAGGAAAGCAGAGTTGTGCACTATTTTCTATGACAGTCTTCTGTCTCTCCAGTCTGTTCTCAGAATGAATCAATAGTGACAAAAACATATCAGTGAATGCTGGGGAAGTCATAACATGCCAGCTCAAGTTTCCGAGGGTCTTGGTAACACAAGTGCCACTGGAATTTGGAAAGCTTCATACAAATCAATGAATGAGGCAAAGAAGTCTTAACACCATGGACACTCCTTCAGAATCCTTGAACTGCCTGGTTTGGGGATTTGACTTGCCCAGCAAAGGGCGCACTGTAGAGAGAGAATCCATTCTGCTGCCCTTCTTTAAATGGGCCTGCAAAGTGCAACTCATCTGTGTAATTACAGGATATTACTCCTTTTACGAGAATCTTAAACTTGAGGCGATGGAGCTGCCTCCCACTCGGTGGCTGTTGTACAGGAAGGAGGAAGGCGAGCTGAATGAATCACTCCAGGTGTTTACCTTCTGGCTGCCTGTCAAGACAACCCCCTCTCCAGGGGGCGGTGTCACACTGGGGGTCACGGGGCTGGCTCCTGGCCCCTCCACTTCTCAGCTGGTGTCCCCCAGGCCTCCCGCTCCAAGCCACGTGCATGTTCAGCCTCATCCACACAGGCGACCCTCTTTAAATAAGGGTAATTTTCAGCCAAAAGCAGTGAGAATTGCAGCTCCCACAGCCTCCCATCGGCTGCAGAGGATCACACAACCAGGAGCTTCCTCTGACTCATTTTTTCACCTGAAATCTGCCACCCTCAGATCCTGACAGGCTGGAGACAACCCGAAGCCCCCCATTCCGACTCCGGACAGGCCTCTGCAGAGCACCACAGAGAGGAAGCTGCTGGTGGCATTGATACAAGTGGCCTAAAGGGAAAAGCTGACGCCCTCCATCTACCTGCTACTGCGCATGGGCCCCGCAGGCACAGGCTTGTCCTGATTTAGCTGTGACAAATCAGAAAGTGAGGAGACAAACGGGGCCTTGGAGTGCTGCCAACCCAGGCCCCCATTTACAGGTGAAGCCTGGAGCAGCAGAGAAACCTGTCCAAGGTCACCAAGATAGAAGGGGGCCAGCACAGGCTAGACCTCAAGTTCCCTGACTCCTGACTTAGGAAGATCCCCAGCCCCCCCCGCCCTCTGCCGTTCTGTAAAAACTCCTGGCGACAGGCCTGGGGACTCACTCCTCTGTATCCTTACGCTTACGAGCACTGCTTAAGGTAAGGGCGAAGGAAAGGATGCCTGCCGGACAGGACGACAAGCACCGTCACGGAAGGTAAGCTTACTCAACCCTCACAAAACCCCACTGGAAAATCAGAGAAGTTAAGTAACCTGCCAGAAGTCACACAGCTGGTAAGTGGCAAATCACTGACAGGTGCCCAGACTGGCTTAACACTGCAGCCCACTGTCACTTAGTCACGCTACCAAGCTCAGCCACAAAATCGCAATCGAACTAACTAGGTGAGTCAGGGAACGCTCCGTGGCAAGACGGCTTATCAAAATCTCAATCTCATGCCCCTGAGATAGATGAACTAACATAGGGATTCTATAATCACGTTTGATGGGGGCAAGAGGGACAAGACAAAAGGAGAAAGCATGGACTGCCTTGTTAGACACCCGCTCCTTATGAGCTGTGTGACCCCGGGCAAGTTACTTGACCTCTCTGCGCTTCTGCCTCCGTGTCCCCCTGCACGAAACGGGCACGCTGACAGTGATGACCTGTCAGGGCTGCGTGAGGATAAAAGCACTTAGGCCAGTGCATGGTGAACAGCAAAGGCGACACCACCACTTGTTAAATACATAAAATAAATTGTTATTTCTAAATCTCCAAGCAAGGGCATTAGTGGAAACACAACAACACTTCCCCTGGCTTATGGAGATGACCTCAGCAACACCTGGAAACTGCTGGGGAGTGGCAAGGCCTCTAGTCCCAGCGGAGGTCACAGTGCATTGGCGCCCAGCCTCCTCAGGCCTCCGGGAGCTCACGGCGGTGTTTACTGGCGCTTCACGGCTGTGGAGCGCGTTCCTCAGTTTCGGAGTTTTTCCACACATCATCTCACTTCTCAATCTCAGTCTAACCCTATAAGGCAGGTCGAGCAGGAATTCTGTCAAATTAGGAAACTGAGGTTCAAACAGGCTATGTGACGTGGCCAAGGCTGGAAAGCTTTTGAGCCCGGGAACCAGACCCAGCTGAACACCTTCCAGCCTCAAGCCTGGCCTGCCATGTGTGCCCTGCCAAGCAAGTCTTTTTTTTTCCCTTTATATTTTTAAATATTTTCATGATGACACATACTTAAGAAGGAGTTTATACACACACACACACAGACCTTAAATGATGATAAAATAACTACTGCCAACTTTAGAAATAGAATGTTACCTTAGAAATCCCATGTGCTTCTATTTTTCTGATGACAGCAAACCTGCTTATTTATTGTAGAAAGTATAAACCTTCACAGAAGTCTAGAACATACAAAACGAAGGGCCTCCCTCTGACCTTTTACTCATGTAGGGAAGCCCTGCCCAGGATTTTCTGAGATGACGGAACCATTGCCCATCTGTGCTGTCTGATATGACAGCCACAAGCCATATGGGCCAGGCTACTGAGCCCTTCAAATACGGCTTCCTGGCTGAGGAACTGAATTTTAATTTCATTTAATTTTTAATAACCATACACATGTGCACACTTGTTATTTTAATAAAAATGGGTAATTCGGTCTTTTAACAATACATCCTGGACATCTTCCCATCTCACTATGTATTTATCTACTTCATTATTTTTAATGGTTTTCTAACTATTTCGTTTAGGGGATACCAGTCCCCTACAGGTGGGTATTTCAGTAGTTTCCAGTTTTTTGTTCCTGCAAAGGAGGAGTCTATCTGCCATTCTTAGCAACCGCATGACTCTCTGTGTGGGGTGCATTCCCAGAAGTGGAACTGCTGGGTCAAAGGGCCCAGTGATTCTTAGCCCACTGCACACTGTGACTAACCCCCGCCCCCACCACCGCCCAGAAAGTGCGCCAGGCCTGGAGCTCAGATGCACGAGTGGTCGCTAGACAAACCCTGGCATCAACGCTCATCCTGCCACTCACTGACTGGGGTGGGCAGGAAAACTGGTGCCCCAAAGATAGAGTCACTTCTTAGTCCCCAGAACCTCTGAACATCATCACCTTAGATGGCAAAGGATCTGATTACGCGAAGGATCCGGAGAGTAGCAGTTTGCCCTGGATGATCCATATGGGTCCAGACATA